CAGTTTTGGTTGATAAGTTTTTTTTTCGTAGAAGTAACGTAACTATGTTCACATCAATGTTCAGAATCAACCTGCAGTGGCTCATACCAAAGGCCAATTTGGCTTAAGTCCTAACAAATTTGCTTACGCTAAAATGCTAAGGTAGATTTCGGATCATTTTCGGTCATCAAATTAAGGGTACACTTGTCATTGGTTTTTGACATGCATACAATTACAGCATCCCATATTGACCAAGCATATTTGGGCATTCATAGTCTGCCCAAAGCATTAATGAGCGAAGCGGGGGCGAGGGCGTTTGATTGGCATCTTCTGTCTGTGTGCCTCAGTGGGTGGCGCGATTGAATATGGAACTTTGATGGGTTTGATAATAGATCTGCCAGTTTCGGTAGTGTACCGATTGTACCGATTTCCGTTGTGAACGCCGGGCCACGTGGGTAGAAAGCTATGATGAATGTTATGGAACACAATTTTCCATTAGTTTACGACTCGTAAATAGTAACTTCTGACCATTGACCACTTATACCAAACGCTGACAATTACCTTTCGGTATTGAATGCAGAATGCTCACTATTGACTACTAACTGTTGACCACCAACTACTTACCTACCACTGACTTTTGACCACTGGTTCCCGACCACTGACGACTAACCGCTGACCGATAACCTCTGACCACCGTCCCCCAGCCACTCGTCAGCCATATCCCGTCCCCGGCTCGCCAACCAGACGTCTGGGACCTGTCTACATCGACTAGTTGGACCTGACAGGGGCGGGATCCACGTCAGGCCTCTACAGGAGAGACGGGGGGGGGGGGCAGAGGGGGCAGAGCCAGACACCGAGCTCGCGCGCTATTTATAGTGGAGAATTAGAGGTGGCAAAATGTGGACCCGGGGACCCGGTCTATGGAACCGGTCTGGACCCGGACGGGTCCAGACCGGGTCCCCCAAAATATTTGGCCGGGTCCAACCGGGTCCTATCAATTCCCTGTGCTTTATGGTAAACATTAATATCTTTTATGCTTTGGCAAACATAGTCATAGTTGATGCAGTTTCCAGTTCATAAGTCCCAATTCCACTTTTGAATTTTAATATTCCAGCAGAATGGGCTACCTATTCTATAGCATACTGATACTGGTCAGTCTTGCTTCAATTTCTTATCTTGTCACCTACAACAGAATAAACAAGTTTAAGTGCTAGCAATCCAGAAAACATTTCACCAAAATCCAAATGTTTGTACGGATCACTTCCATTCAGTTTGCTGTACAGCACCTAGCAATATTTTGAGCTGTAGAAATCAAATACCAATAACATATGTTGGTAAGTAGGTATGACTGAAATCCATTTATAAATGGACACAAATACAATTGAAGCAAGGCTGACCAGTGGCATTCTCACCTGCCTTTTCAAAGACATTGACATACCAAAGTCACTATGCCCACCGGAAATCAGAGTTCATGTTTGATATTCAAATGCATTTCATAACTCAAACAGCTTTGAAATTATTTCTATCACGGCCAGAAGACAACTCATAAAACCAACATGCCCTTGCATAAATACATAAAGCTAAAAATGAATCCAAGGCATTCTCCAGAAACCGTAGTATTGATCAGATTTTAGCCAACTGGCGCCGCATGGTGGCGCTAACAGAGCGTACTATACGTATAGCGCTCTACTAGCGCCATCATACGGCAGCAGCTGACAAAATACTGAGTCAATACCAATGCCCTTCTCCAAGGCCAGTGATTCCGTGTTGATGTGAAAATGGCGCATTTGAGCGTCATATATGCTATACCTTACGCACGCTAATCTACTGCATAAAAGTTACAATTCTGGAACACGTTCGGGAAGAAAGTCTCAGAACCCTTGGTATTACTATTTATTCTATGTCCAGGTACTAACAACAAAATGTAGTTTGTTTTCTACGTTAATAAATTGGCACTTAAGTCATGATCGCAACCGCAACTTGCAGTACTTGCAGTAAGTTTATTGCCATTACGATTTTGCAGTACTTTAACCCCAACAAAATTTTGCAGTGATTTAACGCCTGTTTTGGCATTGCTATCGTGTCGACATTTCTGGCAAACCTCACACAGTTTTCATGTTTCTATTTTGATTTTGAATGTTTTATCGTTTGGGGCCTTTGATAGTTGATAATATTTGTAAGGACTAATGAATTTAATTCTAAAAACGAATATCTTTTACCAAGAATATTAGAAAAGGTATGTATCAGTATGGTTATCTTGTTCCATGTTGATGTTAGGTTCTTGTTCTGACTCTGGTGAAGGCACTGGTCCATGGATCCCCAGTTCACATCATTTTTAGCAGCTGTAGTAAAAGTGGCTTAGGTTAGCATGAAATTCATTGGTCTACTTACTTCTTATATTCTTAAATATGACCTGAATCTGGTTCCAAAATACAAATTGTGAAGCGAAGTGAAATGACCATGGCATGAGTTTTTTTACTTTGCAACACAAGTATGCCCAATTGGAAAGAAACTATTTTCTTTTGCTATACCTACAACTGTACACAATTTTCATAATGAATTTCGGGAACGGGTCCATCTGGTTCCAACGCTGACTTAGACCGGGTCTGACCGGTTCCAGAAATGTGCCAGTCAGACCGGGTCCGGGTCCGGGTCCCAAAATTTTCCAGTTTTGCCACCTCTATGGAGAATGCTCAGACCGGAAGGCTTGAAAATATGTATGTAGGCCAAATGGGGTGGTTGGCGTCCTTTGTCACTGCGATTTAGGGGTTCTTTGAAGTTTCCTGGATGCTGTTTTATTACTTTTTTGTTTTTGTTCCAACATTATTTTGATACCATTATCATACCGTTTTACTTTTTACATGGCTTTTTACGTTAAAAACCAGTAAACAAGGCGTTTCAAAAGTAAACTTGTAAAACAAGGTGTTTTACACAAGGTGTTTTACAAGACTTGAAATCTCCTGATTATTTGTATTATCAGTTATCGTTTTTATGGGGAAATATTTATAGCCAACTTAATCACTAATCAGCATTGGTGGAACTCGAATTTTTACGCATTTCTTGACTTTTTTGTTGACTGAGTTTCTCAAGACTATACAATCATTTTCATGTCGCATTTAGCGGTCATACTGTTGCAAAAATGTATCTCTCACTACCATCATGCATCGATTACACTACTAATCGCTATTTCCACCACTGCGCCGCTACCGCCACCGCCTCCGCCGCCGCCACCGCCGCCCGGCCACTCTCGGTGGCTATAGCCGGCCGTAATTGCATTATTGTGACATCTGCTCTGTGTCGGGACGACGCACTAGCCGCCGTATGGGCCTCATTGATCGCTATTATTGTGATTAAACGTGTGATCTGTAGGTGTGTTATTGTGATGCGGGCTGTGCGAAGTTGAGACGCGTGCTTTGCAGCAGGGCTGCGGAGTCGGAGTCGGAGTCGGAGTCGGAGTCGGAGTCGGTCGGAGTCGACAGTTGTGACCGGAGTCGGAGTCGGAGTTGGAGTCGATTTTAGAAACCCGAGCCGGAGTCGGAGTCGGAGTCACCGAAAATCTGTCGACTCCGCAGCCCTGCTAGGTCTGCGGAGTCGGAGTCGGGAGTTGGAGTCGGTCGGAGTCGACAATTCTGCCCGGAGTCGGAGTCGGAGTTGGAGCTGGTTTTTGAAAGCCGGAGTCGGAGTCGGAGTCTGAGTCGCCGAAAATCCATCGACTCCGCAGCCCTGCTTTGCAGTATTGTTGTGATTCCAACGGGAGATGCGCTAGGCTCGATTCAACCAGCGTCATGGAATCAGTGGAGTCAGTGAAAATGGATTCAGTGAACATGGGAGGCCATTAACGTCAACATGAGTGGGGCGGATGTTGCTCGTGGGGTCACAATTCATTTTTCTATGAACATAAAAAGTTATCATTTTTCTTCTCAGTATCTCCACTTTTTGCATTTGAACGTGCTTAGATTTCAACTTTATTACACCCACATCTATCGACTCAACCACAGGGGCTGAACTTTATCGCTCACTATTCTACACTGCACATATAGGGCACATCTTCCTTCCTTTGAGCCCGTCAGTGCCCACCCTCACACTCACCTAAGCAACTCTCCCGAACATTCCGTCAACCTCCATCCCGCCACGATCATGACGGAGACCATGCCACAGCTCCTGTAGGACCTCACGAGACCTCACTCCCCCTGGCCGGAGCTTCTGTTGACCTCACGAGACCTCACTCCCCCTGGCCGGAGCTCCTGTAGGACCTCACGAGACCTCACTCCCCTGGCTGACCTTTGGTGTAGTCACGCCGTCCGTACCTCGGTGGGTCTCCAGGGGTCTGGGTAATCACATACTATCCTCCGGTTGAACGTGCAGGGACGCTGGGAAATCTACACTAGGAGGTGACCTCACCGGGGCGCTACTGCTAACGTGGGGTGAATCGAATTGTGGTCTGTGTGAGGGAAGTAGTCTCGTCTCGTACCGATGACATTTATTGCAGTCTGGGGAAAGGGAACCTTTTCGTGCGTGTGTTATGCAGCGAATCGTTTCCCGTGCTGATTCTGAAGACTCAATGCACAATATTTGCTATAGGCATTGTGCACCAATTACATAAGTGACATTCCTCTTTGCTTGCTTGATTGGGATCCCATGTTCTTCTGCATGCATTCGACACGAAGTTTTTCGGAACTTATGTGTAATGTATATGTTCTTAATTTGATTCCCTGTCGTCCAATATCACATTCCACAATGGCTCATGCTTTCCACACTTCGAACTCCTGATCTTTTTTGTCCTTTATGGCCATTCTTTTATATAGGCCTGTATAATTTTTGCGGTATTTAAACATAAGACCTACAACATAAACAACATTACATGGTATCCGAAAATTGCCCTTCGGAATTGATTCGAATTGGTGTTGGTATCCTGAAGTTAAGCATTTGAGTCCCACCGATAAATTTCGAAAAGTTACTGCCCGTGCTCTCGCCCATTTCCACTGCACCCCAGCTGACCGCTCTCTCCCCCTCGTCTCCAGGTGTTCCGTTCCCGCCGAGCCACAAGCTAACATGTGCCGAGGTCTTCGATCCCCGCTCGGGCAAGCCGCGGCCCGAGGTGCTCAAACAGCATTTCATCCTCGAGGGTCGGATAGACGAGTCAGCCGCGCTGCGGATCATCAACAATGGCGCCACGCTGCTGCGCTCCGAGAAAACCATGATCGAGATCGAGGCGCCTGTCACAGGTTAGTTAGAGGGCGACGGGGGTCACGGGAGGTTATGGGTCAGTCAGAGGTCAATTGGGGTCACGGTCGGAGCTCACGGGAGGTGGAGGTCACAGGTCAGTCAGACGGCGACAGGGGTCACCTGAGATTATGGGAGGAGAGTTGAGGGTCATTAGGATGGGGAGGTCACAGGTCAGCCAAAGGTCACTAGTGTGGAGGCTGTTGGGCGACCGGGGCGGGGTCAGTGATCATAGGTCACCAGGGGTCACAGGTTAGTGTCGTGGGGTTGTGAGGGTGGATTTACCGGTCATTTCAAACCGGTCTATGCGGATGTGTCAGTACTCAATGACACCTTACTGGCTAGGGAAGCTCCTAATTGAGTTCGTAAGTAAATTTCACATTGTCTTGGGTATCAGAATTCGAGCTAAGGTCATCAACACAGCTCATATGATAGAACTACCCTAGGCATGTGGACAGGAAATTGATAAGACGCAAGTATGATGGTATTAGCATCAACACTCGAGTCAATAGTTTAATCAGCCTGAAGCGGATAGTCAGTGACGCTGTGCCACGTGGTATCATGACAGAGTTGGACGACCATGACGTCATCCGTCTACCGACTAAGACGCTGCCAAACTGATATGCTTCTATCTTGGACGGGTGGCGCGGAAGGTTGCAATAGCAGCACATTGCCACAAAGTCTGTCAACTTTATTTCAAACTGAAAACGGGACGCGTTGGTTTGCAGTGGATGACGTCAACCGACTGTGACGTAATATCCGTTGACCAGTGTCGTTTAAACCAAGGAACGTGTGACGTCATACATCCGGTAACGACGCCAAAATGGATGCCTCAGAAGGCTTTTCTTATCCTGGGCCATTATTAAAATTACTACTCGCATCTTTTACATCTGCTTGTAGCTTCTTAAGATCGTCTTTGGGTAGTTATATCGTACGCTTTTGCGTCTTCTGAAACTGTAGCGTGTCGCCTACGCCAGAATGTCGTTTCGAAGAGACCCGCGTGTTGCTGTTTCCGGAATAAACCGGATAAATCCGGAACACCTGGGCGGAGTCGACCCAGTCAAAGCCAAATTTGGCAGCCACCTGATCACTATTTTGGGATCACAGATCGAAGACCGATGACGTGGATTGAATGAGGAGTGGAGGGAGGGGAGGGAGGGAGGGAGGGAGGGAGGGGAGGGGAGGGAGGGAGGGAGGGAGGAGAGAGAGAGAGAGAGAGAGAGAGAGAGAGAGAGAGAGAGAGAGAGAGAGAGAGAGAGAGAGAGAGAGAGAGGAGAGAGAGAGAGAGAGAGAGGGATGGGGGTGGAACTCATGGGAGAGAGATTGAGGGAAGCTGCTCCGTGCTGACTTTTTCACATTTTGTTGTTTTCCGCAGTGTGCGGTGACATCCACGGTCAGTTCTATGACCTTATGAAGCGGTTTTTTTCACACTTTGTTCTCATCCTTTCCGCAGTGTGCGGTGACATCCACGGTCAGTTCTATGACCTTATGAAGCTGTTCGAGGTTGGCGGGCCGCCATCTAGCACAAAATACCTATTCCTGGGAGACTACGTCGATAGAGGGTACTTTAGTATAGAGGTAAGTAAAAACATCGTCTTTGGGGATATATGTATGATGTGTGCCGGGGGGGGGGGGGGGGGGACGAATATCGTCTATTGGCGGTTGTTATTGATAGAGAGGTGATTCGTATGTGATGTGGTAGTTTTTTTTGCAGTTAAAGTGTATATCAACGTAACAAATCCACCATTATGTTTGGTTATCAGGTATACGATGGATTTCTGTGATAATGGCTAAGATTTGAGTGACGATTTCACGTGAGAACGTCTAAAGAAGTAAGCACACACGTACGTGTATTCATGGAATGCTCTAGCGTTGGTTCCTATGAATATGCTGTCCTTTGTACTTTTTGGTCTTGAGTGTGGGTGTGTGGGCTTTCGTGTTTTGTAGTTGACGATGTCATCGCCACACATCTATCTGTCTGACTTGACTCACTGAGTGAGTCTCACTCAGCTGACACCAATCGGCGATTAAATCCAGACTGTGCAGGACCACAAGTGTGTGCCTAATTGGGGGGGGGGGGGGAGGGGATAAGTCACCTTTGATGAGTCACAAATTGTGACGCTGCTGTGTTTTGGCGTGATGGTTTTTGTGGTGTAGGTGTGAGACCAATGAAGGTGCCCAATTTTCGAGGGCATATATTGCAGAGCGATATTTTATTATGACTCACATACTTTATTTGTTCTTTGATTGGTGGTGTGTTTTTTTTTTCACTGCTAGAAATGCCAATCGTTAGTAGCGCTTTTTTTCTCCAGGGAAGTTATTGATTTTTTCAAGGCTCTTTATTTGGTAGTGCTGCCGCTTTTAGCATTATTTCCAGCCTTCCTCGTCAGTCACACCATTCCTAATTCATCGCTTTATTTATTTA